TTTTAAACTATATAAGTTATATATATATATATATATATTTATTTATTTATAAAATATTTTATTATTATAATATTTAGTTATTCAAATCTAATATTGGTTTATAATTAGAATATCTTAATAAATAAAGACTAAACTTATCTAGTTAAATATTAATAATATTTATATAATTATTATAGTAGAAGTTTTAGGTAAGTATACGGCTATATTATAGGCCTATACCTATTACATAGCTAGAGTGGTAAGTCTTCATAGATAGTCTGTGAGGCGCTATTCTGCCCTATTCTACTTACTCTAGCGCGTTACTCTCCCCGACCGCCTTGTCGAATACAAGCTTCGGGAGATCGGTCTTCAGTCAGATAGTTCGGGCTATGGGACTTTCAGAACACGTCCCCGTCGTGGCCTTGAACCCAGTTGTGAACTACCGCCTCAAGTTTCCAGCATGTAAGAACAATTAGCCGCGTCATATCCTCTGACCAAGTCTCACAGGTAGGGGCCGCTGTACAGTTTAGATTAGATCCTGCACCGACTGAAAAGCTTCCCGAATAGACAGATCCTGATGGTCACAAGTAGTGCTCATCTCTCTCCGTTTTTGCAGTCACTTTGTTCGTCCACCTTAACAAAACATAGTCGAGGTGCTACAACTTCGGCTGCTTGACTAATTCGTTCACAATTTTGCAGCCGGCCTCGTATGCTTCTCCAGTCAACGTCGGCGCGACAATGTATCTCGCCAGGTAGACAACCTAGCATGGTACAAAAGAAATTTTAAATTGAGAACTTAGGGCAGGTTATTCGAGGCAACAGGAGGGGAGGCTAGGAGGGCACCAGCAGCCGGCAAGGCATATACTGGTCAATAAGTATAGTAAGGCAATATAGATGAAGGAAACGACGTGAATGATACTATCTATAACAATACGATACTATCTAATGTAAACTTTTACTTATAGCTAGGAAGGATTGCTCTTCTAGTCCGGCCTGTGTTAACACTGATCGCCTTGGGTCTCTCACGAGAACCACACGGCGTCAAAACCACGAAACAAACGATTAACACACTGGCACATCCTTAATTTCAAGTGTACCTGACCATTGCTGCGAATCTTGGCCCCTAGGGTGAACATTATCCCCTTCGTTGTGAATGTCAACATTCCTGCTCCTAAAAGTGGCCTGCTGCCAGATTCTCCACCAGCACTACCAAGCTTAGACGGCCGCCTCTCGTTCCGGTGGTTAGAGGCTCTGCAAAAGGTAGTAAGTCAAGAGACCGAGCAGGTAATATTTGAGTAGGCATAATCGAAGGCCTCCAGATACCCTATCATCTGAATGACAGCGGCGCAGACCACCAGGAAGTGCATAAATGAATGGGAGCTGCACATGTCGAATTTGCCAGGCCACCAACTTTCGGGAAACCTCATCTTTCAAATCACATATATTAGGACCATTTTCTCCCTGAATAGGCAAAATATGAGACTCACTGCATAAAGCGCGGTACCAGATAGAAGGCAGCCTACTTTTGCCACCATAGTATAGGTGAAGGCCTTTTTGTTCATCAAGTCTAGCCCGAACATGTCGAGCCCATGAATCAAGGGCGCCACGACGGACATGCCAGTCGCCACGAACGCTAGTGTTCGCATTGAGCGATACTTGTGGCTCTGGAGCTTCGGATGGACGTTCGTAAAGATGGTAAATGCCCCGAAAACCCCAATCTGTTGACCGATAAAGGCGGTGTTAGATCCAATTAACATTCCAGGGACGAAAAGGCCAAGCATATAGAGAGCAACTAACCATAGACCAATAAATATTGCGGAGCGTAGTCTCACACCGAAAGATTATGTATACTCCCAAGATAATGTCACCGACTATGAAGACCCCTATACCAAGCATATCTAATCTATGGCAGAAATGGTCCACGGTGCAAGAGTGGTTCATCAAAGTATGATAAAGAGCCGATAATGCATAGCAAATGGTCGCCGTAAGCATAAAGAATGAAAAAGCAACAAAATCAGTGCTGGTAACTCTGGAATATTTGCTAGCAAGGTACTGCAAGATGAACCACTCGCCGAGGAGGAAGACAGCGGCCGGAATGAGATGGGAATAGATGTTAACCGTCTCGTTGTGGAGGTAACACCAACTGCGGAAGGAGGCGCGAACCGAGCCCGATATAGGCCGGTAACCATGAAGAATCCACTCATTGTTGTCGTGTTGAAACCATTCCGGCATCTCATCGAATGAGAGAAGAGCCGGACGTCCTGCCTCACCGGACCTGGACCCGGGTGCGTTGTCCTCCATTCCCCGCCCTTTTCGCGCCTCTGGCTCCTTGGGCGGAACTCGGAGTCGGGGAGAGGACGCCATTTACTGTCGCGCCTGGTGATGTGTAATATCTGAAGGCCGGATCTTCAGAGTGAGTAGGAATGGAACCGAAGAAATGCGTTTTCTCTTTGCTTTGTATTTTTTTGTTGGGAACTGGCTAATAGACCCCCCCTTTCGTCTGCGCAAGTCTCCCGAATGGTGGCTTGGACTGTGGCGGACGCCCGATATCTTTTTGCAGGGCTGGTTGCCTCGGGCCACTTACACCTTCAGATGGACTTGTTGCCAATGTTGCCAATCAAGTCTCAAAGATCCTAGTCTCCGATGCGAAGGCCATGTGCCAACAATTGCACACTGTGCTGCGATGCTAACTTTAGTAACAGACCCCACATGCCACAGGCCACAAGCGCTAATCGTTTCAGGCGTAGGGACCTCAGTGACGCGGTAGTCTGTTTGCCTATGTTACGAAGAGGTGGCTGAACAGCCTGTTGTGGCCCCAGCAGCTGCCTAATTTGGTTAGAGTTCCCGGTCTTATCCGTACCTAGTGTGCCGTGTGGGGGTTCTGCGCTACGGAGTAAGTAACGCATCCTCCAGCTGAGGCCGAGCCTGAACATCCTGGCTCAGGCAACGCGACGTGGTTGGTTCATGCTTGTTCCGTCACCGGCCCAACGCGTCTCAAATATAGAATATGCAGTCAGCAGTAATTCTGGCGATACGCGTGTTTGGCAACAGTGATGTATCCGGCCCACCCACCCTGTTGTAATAGACGTACAGTTCAGGCGGCTAACAAAAAGAGGGAGGGGTATCAACGGAAAGGGCCGCTAAATCAAGAACACTATACACATCACAATATAACATAGTACTTCATCGATAAGGCGTCTTCTCTAGTAAATTACCTCTTTCTTTAACTAGAGGAGGCTATAGCCTACCTATAACGCATATAATATAGCTATCTAGTTCCTCTAAAAACTACTAGTATTTCTATTAGTTAAATAATGATAATTATTATAAAGTTATTAGTTTAAATTTATATTATTAATCAATTATTATCCTATAAGTTAGTATATATAGAGGCTATATATAAGTACTACTATATAAATAAAAGTAAAGCCTTCCTAGCTTCTAACTAATAAGAATTTAGTATTTTAATAGGTATAATACTAGTAACTTCTTACTTTTATAACTTAATTAAGCTTATTAAAATACTAAAAATTTATAAATAAATAGATATTATTAGCTTCCCTTTCTTCTTAGCTTCTTTACTAACCTATTAAGGTTAAACTTATATAATATTTTACTTATATAGTATTATAAATTAAGAATATCTTAAATAGTATTAAATAGGTAGTTATTTATACTAAAAGGTATATTAAATTAGGCTAAAAAATACTAAAAATATAATAAATAAATAGAATTTCTTAATAATACTAATATTAAAGCCTTATTATTTTATTCTATCTTAAAGTATATATATTATTAGTCTCTCTAAATTAGCTTAATTTAGCTAAATTAGGCTTAAAATTATAAAAAATAATGTTTTAAGAGAGAGGAAGAGATCTAAGTATTAATTTTCTATCTTCTTATATTTAATCTAGTATAATATATACCTATACTATTAAACTATAGAGCAAAAGATTAGGTTATTAAAAGC